AGCAGATAAAACAGGAAATAATCAAACTACAGGGTTTTTTTGGGGTTTTGGTTGTTTGTATTTTTTTGTTAATTCTCCTAATCCACGAAATAGAATGTAATTTTTTAATACAGCATGAACAGATACCTGCCACTGTTTAATGCTGTATCTTAAAATACCTTCCAAAGATGCTTTTGAAAAATAAAGGTTAAAAGTTGGGTGTGTTTGCAAAATCTTTATCCTGAATTTCTGTCGTGGTCTTATGTTCCTGTAAACATTTTTTTTTTTTTTTTATTTTCCAATAATATGCAGGTGGTAATTACAGTGTTGTGGTTACAATGTGGTTCAGCCAAATAAATGAGAGTAAGAAGATGCAATTTTTAAGGCTCTTTTCCTGTTGCTGATACTCATCAGCTCAGTGGGCTAGGAGGTTCACTTTTTTGTGTGTTTTCTGTTTCTCATTCTATACTCTCAAAGCTTGGAGTCTTATTTTTATTGGTAGTATCATATAGCGCTCAGCAAAATGGAAGAGTTTTTCTCTTGTAGAACTTGGGGTGGAAAGTTTAAGAAAATACTTGGGATTATAAGGATTTCAAACTTTTTAAAATATAACAGTGGTAACTGTCTTTGGCTATGATCTAGTAAACGTTTCTTTGCATTACTGTGAGTAGGATTAGCTGGTATGACTATAGTGGGGCTTGTAATTCTATTAAGATTTGAAATCTTGTTCACTTTCAAAGAGTTATGAAGTGATTTCACTTTTAGAAGTTGGGATTTTTTCATTAAATGTATTCAGACTTGGCAGTAACTAATTATTAAAGTATTGCAAACTGCTTGGGGACAGGCTTGTCTCTGCCTTTATTGATCCACACAGAAGTACTGTATCCTGATAGAAATCAAAGCAGAAGTGACATCATTTTCATTCCAGGTACCAGTCTTTCCATATGCATGGGACTTTGCCTTTGTGTTTTACAGAGAAAGTATAATGTAATAACTAAAAAACTAATTTGGCTTGTATAAGAGTCCCATGTGAAAACTATTAAATGTTCACTGGAATTCCATGAGGTTTTGTTTTTTGTAATTCACAGTGACTTGACAGAACTATAACCCTCAATGAAACTTGTATTTGTGCGTACTTAGGTTCATTCCCACCAGGTTCCCCCTGGTTTTCACCCAGTGATGGGCTAGTCACATCCATTTGCCACTGTGACTGCAGAGTAATGCATTTAATTTTGTTGTGGCTTTTTGGTACCTTAGTTCTTGGTACTTTATCTATTGAGTGTTGAGTCACACTGTAGCTGCTTTCTTATCCAGTGCTCAAGGGACAGCTGGGCTTCGCAAAGCATTTTCAAGTGTGATGTGATTCAGCTATGCTGTATACATTATATTTTCTTCCCAAACTGAGACTCAAACCAAGAGCGACTCAATTTCTATGGAAATAGCTGCTGTAAAGTCAATTCTGTAGCTTACTGTACTCTGTAAATTAGGTAGAATAGATGCTGTAGAGCAGGTTTTTGTGCTACTTGTTATCCCTTTGCTCTCATTGCCTAACTGCTGCTGTTGATTAAGTTTAATCCCAAAGCACAACAGAATTAAAAGACTTTGCATTTTTATAAGTCTTCCTAAGAAAAGGTTTTTTTCTTTGCAGTTCTATTGCAAACATAAGTTGTTATTCACAGTGGGGTAAGTGCCTGAAGCAAGGGAAACAATCATATATAAATTGTAAATCTGACTGCAGTGCTGATGCTGACAGTTGTAGGCTGTTTCAGATGTATGCTGAGAAAAAAAAAAAAAAATCTTCATGAAATTGTACAATAATCTGTCCAGACTATAGGGGAGGAAAAAAAATTAGTACGTTATCACCTAGACAAAATTGATCCTTTAGTGTCAAAAGCCACGGCACCACTGGCTAACTTATGATTCCTCCAAAACAACTGGAACAGTAAGTTTTGCTTTTTGGTTTAGTATGACTGTCCAGGGTAACGTTCAAGCAAAAATGCTTGAAATTGGCAATTAAACAAAGCACCACAAGTGATCACCGTGCTGTCGCTGATAGGGAATTGGCTACGAGAATGGTCACAAAAGATAACTTTGACCTGTTTGCAGCCAAAGCTATGACAATTTTTTTAACACTTTCAGAGAAGGAACATTGTGAAAAATGTCGCATGTTTCAAGATGTATTAACCTATACTGACTCCTAAATACAAGTATTCTTATAGTAACTGTTTTACCTAGTAGCTGTCTTTCAGTGGTGAAAGTCCATTTTTCACTTATTATTTTGTTATATTTCACTTACCTATTCTATCTTTAATGTATTACATGCATGTGATCGGCTGAGGCCTGTTATCTTCCTATTTCAACACCTTTTGGTGACTTATTATTTTATTACCATGTAATAAGTATATCATCAATGACACTCTTTTATACTAGCAGCTGTTTGAGATATAAACTATGTGCGAATTTAATCCCATGTGAAGGAATAGCTTTGTTGATCATAGAATCACAGCCTAGTGCTTTTCAGCAAGGGTGTTGAAATTCTCCAGTTACTATTATCAGTAATCTAAGCAACTGCAAATGATAGAGAAAAGGCCCTTCCACATAGTTTTTATCTCTCTCTCCTTGCAACGCGCACACACAGAGACACGTACGTGAGAGCGAGGGGTTGCGATAAATGTTGCTGTCAATGCTGTGATGAGTTATCTGACTTAAAAATCGCCCACAGCTCTTCTTGCCTTTTTATTAATCAGGGTGAGCCCAAGGAATGAGAATTTTTCATGTTCTTATCCGTGTTACCTTACATCTTTGCTGTTAATGCTGTTTATTTTAATGAAAGGGAATAAATACAATGAACAGTAAGAAAAACTGTTAATATGTGTTCTATCTTAAAAAGAAATCAAGAAGTACTTCGTCTCATCAAAAAAATCTAAAACTTTGGTCTTTAGAGAGGCAAAGGCGGCAGGTGTTTTGTTTACCTGGAAAAGAGGGAGTATAATGAAGGATCTGTTTGTAGTATTTTTGCTACCTAGTATCTTGTAGAGAAGGCAGACCCCACTCCTCTCGGTTACTGGAGTGGAAGATGGGACATCTTAACCTTCTGTGGTTCTATGAAATATCTCAAAAGAAAAATGGTGGCATTAAGGAAGCATCATATACCATGTTTTGACTTTCTTAAAATCCTTACATTTCAACATAGACTTAAAAAGCTTTTGGAAGCTTTTGGAAGCTTTTTTTGTAGCTAGGGAGAAGGTGATAGGGTGCAGCATATGCAGTTAGCGGTATGAAGACTGGGTCATGAATGAAAAAAGTCGCTAATTATTCAGTTTCACTAGGAAGCCTTTGAAAAAAGATAACTGGTGTTTTAAAGTAGCAGGAGGGTCTGAAGTAAGTTTTAGTACTTGGAAAATTACTTTAAAATGTTACTTTACAATAGTAACTGTCCCTGAGAGAAATGATGTGATGGTAGTTGAAGGCTGCTATGGGAATATACATGCAGGTAACTTATTTCTTTGTTATGAATTAATGTTAAGGTGAACTACTTCCCTTGTACAGATCTTTTATTTGGCTGTTTTGCTGAATTCAGAAGAAGGGTCAGGTTTTATTTCCAAAAGTCCTTTTCCAATATCTGGTCAGCTGGAAATTTGTCTGTCTTTCCCATTTGTAGTACCTTAATAAAAAGTAAATAAGACAGATTGTCTTCCTTTTCAGACTGCTTCTTCATGCCATAGGCTGCTGCAGTCATGGCAGCACTGCTGGGTTGTTAGCTGTTTCAGTGCCAAAGACCATAGTAACTGTGCAGGCTCAGACTATCAAACAACATCTGAATAGTTGAGATACTGGAGATGGGGTCATTTAGGTGTTGTCGTGTTCCTGCTGCTTACATGCTTTTGGCCAAAATTCACTTAATGTAGTTATATACATCTTGCCTTGAAATGAATATTTGTTTTTTTTTTAAATATGTTGATGAGATAATTGTAAAGGAAAACAGAACTTAGACAACAGCCAAAAATAATAACATTTCTATGTCTTTTTTTTTCAGTGAAAACAGAGATTCATTCAACTTGAGACTCAATTAACTTGAAATTCACTTTACAGAAATTCTGTTTTACTGTGATACATACCTGTCTGTAACATTAAAACATGATTTTGTAGGTCTTGACAAATTTGAGTCAAAGTATTTTGTATGGATATAGCTGAACGTAAAACTGAATTGGTAGATGAGAAAACATGTATCAGTGCAGTAAAGGACTGTGTTTTCTGTTCATGGAATCTTCCATTTCTGTGTGCCTTGTCCTGCCTTATGTGGCATATTTACAGTTGTTTCATTGTATACTTTCTTGTGGAAAATTATATAGTATATGTACTTAGTGATGAGTTTCAAATGAAGTATCAAAATACTTTTTTTGGGTGAAGCATAGTTACATTAGAGCAGCCAGATTTCTTGCTCAAGCCTATCACAGAGATTCCATGCTGCACTTCCAAAAATTACAGAGGTACAGAGGGACAAGCATAGGAAAACTAGAAATCAGTACAATACCCAGGAAATATTTAGGCTTTGCTAATGTGTTTGCATCATGCAAATGGGGAAATCATCTCCATGTTGTGATCTGCAATGGAGTTTTAATGTTCCTTAATGTTTTTAAAAAAAATAAAAAATAAAAATTATTTATTTGGTTGTTTTAATGGTGCTGGTGTTTGAACAAGTTGCTGCTACTGCTGGGTGCTTTGTACCTGTATCTATTCTGGAAGAAGATTGCTTTGCATCACGCTCCAGTGACATTCTTCTTGTGGGCCCAGCTCTACCACATAACTGAACTGTGCCAGTCCACTGTCTAAGAGAAGGATAAGTTGATAAAAGGAAACAACAGTAAGGAAAAAATTGTCCCAGAGAGAACAGTGCCATAATAAATCTGTTTCTGAACAATTGTCCATGCATGATATTTGAACTTATCTGGATATTTGTAACAGCAAAGCCCAGTGAAGAAAAACGTGACTTAGCTATGATGTGTTATTTTGTTTTGCAGGAAAAGGCTCAGTGCTTTCAGAAGGCTCTTGCTTCTCAAGCAGATAAATCCACTCAGACAGAACTTGTGGGCCATGATGTAAGTAGCTGTATGGAACAGTATTTTTTATCATCTTTGTGGGTGTTCAGACTTCTGTCAGCCTGTTTGCCTCTGCTGCTGTGTCCATGCATTGATTTAGTGAGATTTACTGGAACACCATTCATCCTTTGCTCTTAAATGATTCTAAAATACCTTCTGAAACATGAGAAGATAATTACAACTACCTGCCAGCATGCCAATACCCTGTTAACTTTATGCTTTATGAAGACATGAGAATTAGCATAAGTGAATGTGGAAGATATGTATTAGTGGGTTGTTTTAGGTGTTTTTTTCAGTATTCATTTACACACTTATTGACAATTTAATGAGGTTATTATGTTTATAATCACCATATGCTCTCTAAACAATATTTGAACTTTAGAAGATAATGGGATAAATACGATTTTGCCAAGAGATGTTAAAATTCTGTATCCTGAAGAGCATCTGTCAGAATTTCTGTTAGAAGGTGAATTGATAGTATGGTATCCTGATACAAGAACAAGATTCCTTAACTCTAGAAATAATGGGGGGTTTTCCTTTTTTTTTTTTTTTTCTTTTTTTATGGAAGTATTCTGTCTGTGGGACATTGCTTGAGTATGTATAAGAGATTCACTTGTTTATATGAGCCATCTTGAATAATTTTTGATTATGAATGCCACAGTGTGGAATATTTAGCACAGTTCTGTGATTTGAACAAAATCTAACAATACTTCTTACTGGCAAAATAAGGCTGTGGTTCTGCATTCATATATATTGACATGCTGCTTCAGATTTATAATAGGAACACTGGATTAAAGCAGGTTTTGAAGCCTTCCTTTCAGTATGTTTTGTATCAATGGATCATTAAAGTTTTGTCTGCTGAGCCTTTCTTCTGAAGATAGAACCATAAAAATATTCCCATTTTAATCTGAAAAGTTCTTGAAGCTCTCTACACTTTGTGGATGTTTTTTCAGACTGTCTTTAGCTGATTGAAGCCAGGAGTACTCTTTTTTGTTGTTGTTGTTTTTGTCTTTTTATTTTAAGTAAAATACTTTGGCCAGAAATACAATTTTAATTATTGTCTTTATATGTATTATTCAGCACTTGTTGGTTGTGAGTGTTTGTTTTGCTTTGTTTTCTTTTGAGTACTTTTTTTTTTAGGGGAAGTAACTCAGTACTTTATTCAGTGCACCTGTCTGCACTAATTTCTTGTTCATGGGTTGCCAGGTATGAACTCTTCTGTTCTGCTGTGTCTGTGAAATAATGTCTGTTGGAATTTACTGAAACTGTGAGGTGTATGCATTAATGGTGAATATCCCATAATATTCAAACATACCTAAAACGTTTTTTTATATTGTAATGCTATATCCCTTCTGGGGCTAACTATCCTTACCAGCTACTTTATTTCATCTTAGATGTTAAATAAAAGTTTTCTACTGAAAATGAAAATAAGCAATTTGGAGGGGTGGAGGGGGGTGTGTTTTTTTATTTGTTTAGATTTGGGAGTTTGTTTGCTTTTCTTTTTAAACATGTGATTTATACATTTGATTGTTCTCTCCCAAATTAAATGCGTGGTATCTCATGCTGCAGACATCCATGCTGTTAACTGTTTTTTCTGTTTGTTTGCTTGTCTTGCTTGCTTGTTTTTCCCAGTCTGTGTTTGGTTGAGAGTTTGGATGGGTTAGGGGGTGGATACCTTCTGCTCAGTAAAGGAGATGATTGACACTTCTGCAGTAAAATTAGAACCCCTTCCCCCAGACAGATACAGTGTTCTGGCTGAGGTCTGAGTATTAAGATAAGAATAATTTTTGAAATTGGATATTTTCCAGCATCATCCTCTTCAACATTAGAGGAACACGTTTTCCAACCTTCTGTGTTAAAATGCCTCCAAGGAAGGTTAAAAAATGTCATGGTTGCAATCATATATATTTTTTATATAGGGTGATTCAATGCAAGAGCAAAAGGAAATGTGGAATGTTTTTGTACGGAGCAACACATCCACCTGTATTTATCTTGTGTGGAGTACTTGTGAAAATTGCGTTACAAGGAATTGATTACAAAGTTGAACTAATCTGCAGGAATAAGACATGCTTACTATGACCATTCATGAAGGGAATTTAGTGGAGAAGGATGTGCAAATAAGTTAACACTTTTCATGATATTGTTAACAGCTTTGGCCATTTATTAAATTATGTAGCATTCCTTCAAAGGAATGCTATTACAGGTAATGACAGATTCAGCTGTGTTTCTGTTGAAGCCAAGTGGCAGTTACATTTGTATTTGTTGCTTTTGTGTGAGATTTTAAAGAGCAAGTTGTAACCTTGGAAAATAGTATTTGTACATCGTTTTGTTCAGGATGTGCCTAAGTGTTTGTAACTGTAAGAATATTGTGCTGATGTGAAATCAGGTTTAATACGAAAACACAAAACATATCAGATGATACATGATATAATTTTCACCCTATTAGTCCCACATTCTTAGAATAGCGTACATTAAATAGTTAAGATACCTAGTTTAACAGGTAAACAGAAAAATTAAGTTGATTCCGCCATCACTACAGATTTCCTTCAGTAATTAAAAAGAAAAGCCAAAACAAAACCACCCAAACAAAAAGTTCACCTGTTTTATTTCTTCTTAATGCAACTTCAGAAGCTAACAAGAATCAGATAAAAGTGTCATCAGATAGTTGCATAACATTATTTTTTTCAGTGTGTACAAATATCAATATACACTTAAGAATGTATTATTTTAGAAATTAGAAGTTAGTGCTTCCGTGAATAGTTTGTTTTGTATTCTTTCATATTCTTTTGTTTCACTGTATAAGTTTAATATGTGCCTATTTCACAAAAGAACCCCCCCTGGAACAGATTAGCCCCCAAAAGAAAGCAATGCGCTGTTTTGTTTGACTTCTGGACAATGTTTCCAGTAGTTTAAAGACTACTCTTTAGCCTTGAAATCATTTAGATGTGTTGTTAAAAGTAAATGGAAGTTCTGACTTTGACTTAGATGAGAAATGAATCCTTTCGTCCATAGGGTATACAGTAATGAAAAAAGGCTAGAGGCTAGTCTGTATTTAGGAAGGAATGGGTGGAAAAGGAAGAAATGCAGTCTTTCAAAGGGAAGAAATGTTCTTGCCTCTGTGGAGCTACTCTGAAGAAGTTTAAACAGTGTTGACTGAGAGCTTGAGGTAAGTATTTGAAGGAATGGAAGTTAATACAGTGTATTTTATGTTAGTGGATATCACATAACTGCAGTCAGAGTCTGGCTATCAGAATGATCAGCAAAGTTTGGATCATGCAATCTTCTGCAATAGCTGTAAATTGTTGGATAATACTTCTGATTTCTCTGTTTTCTCCTATGCCGCACACTGAGATTTTTCAACTGAAATTGCTTTAGAGCACTGTAATAGCTAGAAAGTGCAAGCTAAAGCCTGTAGCAGTAAAACTAATGTTTCTCATAAATAACTGTTTGAACTGTAAAGCACACTGCTTAATCTCTTTTCTGTATTAAGATGACCTAATATGAAGCCTAATTATGGAATTAAAACCTAATTTTTGAAATAGGTTTTGGTGGTGAGGAAAAAGGTCTTTGATGAAGAGAAATGCTACAGTTTCTTTAAGTGATTAACATGACCACCTTGCTGCTGGACTAAGTTGAAAGTAAAATATAAAGACAGCTGCTGTGCACATTCAAGGGAAGATATTAGAAAATAATCCTAAAGTTTCTTAGAAAGCTACTTGCTTTCTGCTGCAGAATCTCAAGGGATCTCCACTTTATGATTGCCCTAAATTTATTCCATTTTCTGATAAGTGTCCTGAGGTTCATTTAAAACATGTTGTGAGTCTTTCAGAAAGAGCCATGTGTGCTGCAGATTGATGTAGGAGGCTGTTAAATGATTAATATGTCTTAATCAATGGCAATTTAACCTCCTTCACTTTCCTTTGTTTACAAAGCTTTATTTTTTTGAGAGATCAAGGACTAATTTCTCCGTGTTGATCAGGTTACTAAAATGAGCTACAAGATTAATAGATACAGTCAACTATCATTGTGACTGATCATAAGATCATGTTAAGCAATACAACTCTAGTAAAGGCTGCTAGCTAAATAGGTAGTCCAAAATATCATGCAGGTATCACGCAGACACTCTGCAGCATGTGCCATTGCTAATGAGTTTTCATTGAAATGTGTCCTGAAAACAGAATTAAACAATCACAGTACGATTCTCTATTTCCGTGACCAAAACAAGTCTGACTCAGCACTGCTGTGTCAGTCTTTATTGGTCTGTGGATGAAAAAAAAATTTTTATTCTACAGAGAGTAGAAATTCTTAAGAGCTGACGTGATTTCTACAATGTCTATTCTGTCTTTGCCTTGTGCTGATATTATAGGTTTAACACCTTGGAACTGCTATTGTCTTTGGTCTTTGTCTTCCATACTGACAGTAAACAGGTCTTGGACTGGTCCATAACTCATTTCCCAATTAATGAGAATCCTTTCTAGTTTAGTGGTCCTTATATTTTGTATTGTGTTTTTGTAGTCTAACACAACAAACTTGTCTGGTATAGCTTCCAAACTGTTTTCTGTTTGATTTGCATAGCTGTAACTTCCTCTAGCAATCATTCTCTCTTCTTATGTTAAATTTTTAATTTTTTTTTTTTTTGTAGACAATTTCAGAATACCACTTCAAAATCTTGTGTTTTAGGATGTCCTACTTTTGCAAATCCTGTCAAACTTTTCACCCATTAATAGTGAGATATTATGCAGAGAGTTTTTTTGGTTTTAATCATTGCCTCCCACTGACCCTTACCAAATGTACTGCCTCACCATCAAACCCGTAGGCAGTTGCTGTTTGAATTCCATTTAGCCACAAAGTCATGAACATGAATGAGTTATTACACCTAGTAGTGCTCAGCAGGGGACAAACTGTTCAAGTCACCTGGGCTTGCCAGAGGATGCTTGCTTGTGCTCAGGGTTTGGTGTCTGTGGTGCTATACAAACAGTACAGGTTTTCACATAAACAAA